AACCCGACAGTTTCAGGTGGCCCGACGCTGTTTCAGGTGGCCATTGGCACCCGGGCCACCGTTAAAGTCGAGCCCTGCTGTGGAAAATGTACTGTGGTTCCAGAAAATTCTTTGGAGTGGTCTCTCCTCCTGGAAAGTCCTGGAGAGTAGACTATTATTGGGTTTGGTCCTAGAAAGTCTTTGAAATTGAGTTCTTGTCTGTCTTGTGTGAGAGAAATTAATGCTTGATGTAAGAGTTTGTTCATTAATCACTGATCTATTAACTCCTGGAAAGCTCCCAGAAAAAAGGTTTTTTCTAAAAGTGTATGAATCCTAGCAGCGATCACCAAGAGTTCCCCTATATACTAGTGTTGTAGATTTATTTTACAGCTAACTTAAAAATCAATTTTCCTGTAATCCAACTAGGGTTAAAGTGCAGGGGCAATAGGTGAGCAGAGCTCTGATTTTTTTGTATGTAGTAAACTTGTAGTATTTATTAGAAACATTTGGATTAATTTTTTTCAGAGAACCGAATCTTGCAAATATAATAGCACAGCAGATGGACATTACTGAACCACTGAGTCACTTAAGAGAACTTCTTGAAGAAAGAATTGGAGTGTCACTGATAGACTATGAGTTCTATCTGCAAAATGAACAGCAGGTACTGTGAAATATATTAGAAATCTTTGCTGAGGTGCAATATTTTCTATACGTGTGAATTCTTTCTCATTAACTCTTTACTGGGGTTAAAATTGTTCGGCGACTCCAGATTCACTGTCCGTTTTACTTTGCATCTAAAGATAAAAATCGCTTCGGGAGGGTAGATAAAATGTAGGCAACAACAGATATGTGTTTGCAATCTTGTCATGCTATCATTCTGTTGCCTTACACTTACAGCTCGATGCATCGAGAAATCTAGTGGAGCAATGCGTGCAGGGTGAAGGCATGGTACAGATCAACATAGAGCTTATCCAACCGACCAATGAGAAGCCCCGAATCAACATCGTTGACGTTCTGAAGCCTGCTGAAGAGGAGGTGGAGATTGCAACTGACACAGATGTACAGAGAGGTAGGCCTCCCTCTGCCTACCATACCTGCCTCCCCCTCCTTACCCTCCTTTCCTACTGTTGAAGAGGAACTGCAGATTGCGACTGATTCAGATGTACTGAGAGGTAGGCCTCCCTCTGCCTACCATACCTGCCTCCCCCTCTTTACCCTCCTTTCCTACTGTTGAAGAGGAACTGCAGATTGCGACTGATTCAGATGTACTGAGAGGTAGGCCTCCCCCTGCATACCATACCTGTACTGCCTCTTCAAAAATAACATGGAACATCCAGTATTCATAAATAGCAGTCAGCTAAACCGTCTGTCTTTAATGTGTGACCACTTGACCAAATGGTGAAAAAACTACAACAAAATAGAGAATACTGTCAGAGATGGGGTGTACATGCTTCAGATACTTGCACATAAATCTAACTTCAGTTGCATCTATATGTACTGTAAAGAAATATTGCAAAACAGTAGTGTACTGGCTACATAAATAAGCAGTGTCTATATGAGACAGCTTTAGTCCACAATTGACTTATCTGACGTACTTACATTGTGGTAAACCAAGCTTTAAATAGAGAATCAGCCGACCAAGCTAAACCACGAACAAAAATGGTGAATAGCAAAAACACAAGAGCCTCACGTAGTTTAAGGTCAGAGGTCATACGGTAATAACATACAGGGTATTACCCTGTAACAGCACAATACCTGCCTCCTCCGTACCCTCCTTCCCTACTGTTGAGGAGGATCTGCAGATTGCCAATGACTCGGATGATCACTGATTTTTATTTGCCTCAGGTGACTGGGCGAGTGTTTTTTTCGTCAGCGCTACCCTCTCTTCCTCCTCTCCTCAACCCTTCCTACCCTCGCCCTCCATACTGCTGGCTGGCACAGATGAACAGAGAGGTACAACTCTCCCTCCCTCCCAGACGTTGTTGTAGATTCCCCCACGAGCAAGGAATGGTGCCAAAAGAACAATAAATATTTTATCATTGTGCTATTTTGCCGTGATTGTAAATAGTACTTTCATTAGCATGCTTCACTCGGCGTTGATGTCGTTCGTGTTGCAGTGATGGCAGGTGGAGTCGTCGTGTCAGAGTCGTCTGATGTCACCCGATGGACCGTATCAGAGGAATTCCGCAAGGAGCAGGCTCGCCTTGGGATGTCACCTGGTGGGTAAACATGTAACTACATGCTTTACATGTACATGCACACTGCCACCTGGTGGGTAAACGTGTAACGACTTACTTTACATGTACATGCACACTGCAACCACCTCGTACATAACCACATGTTCAAGGTTCCCATTAAGTAGCAATTATGCAGTGACATCTCCCTTATAGAATGGACACTATCTATTAAGGATTGCTTTGGAATTTTTCAGTAGGATTTAGTAGGAGTTATACAGGGAGACTATTATAGAATGTGCACTTGTCTATAGTGCTTATTATGGATTTTTAGCTCATCTGACGTAGTCAGATGCAGCTTGTAGAATCGCATGATCGTCCGTCCATCCGGCCGTCCGTGCGTCCGTCCGTCCGTCAACAGTTGGGCACAAATCTTAACCGCTCGACGTACGGTCACGATATTCGGGACGTTGGGGGGGATTGTCAAAACGAGTTGGGATGTCGAAGCTGGGGGTCAAAGGTCAAATAGCAGGTGTAAAAGAAGGGGACATTTACTCCTTAATAAAGGTATAGGGAGGAGAATGCAGGAATTGCGGCAGCAAATCTAAACGGCTGCGCTAGGCTCGTGATAGTCGGTGTATAGCATGCATGGTAGAAAAGTCATCACTGTGCTGAAATTGGAGGTCACAGGTCAAAGGTCAATGGGCACAGGGCAGATTTTAGACATTTTTCTGAGGACAGGGTCTGACGGAGCAATTGAAAAACTTTTTTGTTTCAGCGGTGACCTAGCATTTTTATGGCTTTATTGAAAAGGACGATGAAATGTAACTTTCTGCTGACATGCCGAAGAGTAAGTGTCGGATTACCTTTTGACCCTCAGAGGAGGGTTAAACATGGATTTGTTTTACTGTTAGAAAGAATTTGACCTGCCAGGGTTGCTAGTGAGAATCTATACATGCCTGGATGTATGAGGCTAGCAATGTCACAGTAGAAATTTCAAAGCTAAATTTCTTGAAGAAGTTTATGCTTCCTTAAATCGTATAATTTCTATGGCATTTTCTGTACTGTCAGTGTGTTACAATCATGTAACTTATGCCACTGCCAGTGGCCACTGCAGTGCATGTGGTGGTGATAGTACTGTGTAGTTTTTGCCTGCGGCTAATTAGTTACAGGTGGCAGCTCTCTATTTTTAGCCTGTAGGCTTGCGTAGATAAATGGATGAGTGCTTACCTATTCTGTCTTGGCAATAGTTGTTGCTACTACGTACGATGGAGTTCCATCTTCAATCTAAGACACTTAAATCGTACGCGCCATCCAGGGCTCGAATTAAGGCGGCGAGAGAGGGCAAGGCAATTTTTTAGGGCACGTGAGAAATCTGCTCTTGAATTTTCGTCTAAAATGGAAGGGCAGCAGAGGCAATTTTAAACAGCACGCAAGGCTAACCTTTTCGAAAATCTTGAGACGAGGTCACTCAAGGCAGCTTTTGTAAAATATAGAGGGAAACTCATACGGAATAGTGACAGTCAGACGATCGTCTTGCCTTTGTAATAGTGAGGAGTGAAAAAAACAAGTGGATGCCGCACTGTAACGTTACAGCCGTAACACCGGACCCTATGTACCGCTCCTCTGCTAATGGAAGTACAGTAACATAAATTTATTGCCCGCTATCAGGGTGAATATTATCCGCTGCTCGTTATTTGTTTCCCTCCTGCGGCTAATCGCGTTTTAAGGCTGCATCATTGGCAACTACACACGCACGCGCACGTGTTATGCTTGGATTCGACTAAAACGAAACTAGGGCAGTAGAT